ATGCGAAAATGTGCTAATGAATAAATAAAATAATGTCACATAATTCTTTTTGAACTTTGCAAATATATTTTATAAAAATAAATTTTTAACATCCAGACGATTTGAGTAATCTCATTGAGTATTTAATAAAACATACATTCTAATAAAGAATATATAGATGAGATCAGAAACATTGATTTTATGTAGGATGTCTAGTGTATATTGAATTTATTAAAACACTGTGCTAAAAGCGGTTGAAATGAGAATCCTCTGGAAGTAAGTCTCAAGAGAACGTGGATAGGTGAAAAATCTCGCTCGTAAATTTTATTAAACCAATTCCGATCATCCGAGTATGGGTTTCACTCCAGGGAAATCAACTTGATAATTTGATTAATAAGTTGATAGATATTTACATTAACTTTGCTAAATGCTATTCTATCATTGGTAGAAAAATACTACAATTTAATTGCATTATTTCAATACTCATTATCGGTTGTATGACAAAAACTATAATTCCGGTATTTAAAAATCTTTATTACTTCAATAAAAATGTGAAATAATTTTTTTGTAATAAAAAAAAAAATTTTGTTTGATATTTTAAAGGAAAAAATATGTAAAAATAACGTTTAATGAATCTCTTTGAGGTTAATCAGATCCTCAACAGCGTCATAATCGGCTTAAAAACACTCTTACAATTTTATAAAATATAAAATACATGGGTAAAGCTTGTGTCTACTTGAATTAAGAGCAACTCCTTCGTGAATAAGTCAAATTTACGAGCGTCTTATAGCTTTTGGAGGACTTAGCTTACTCCCACCAGTGAATACTTCTTTTTTTGGATCCACGTCGTTTAGACTTCCCATTCACAATATTGTAACATTATATTATATAATATATAAAACACATCCAATTTACTTTCATCTTGATATTTTTTTTTTTACCTCTCATATAATCCAAAATTTTTTTTCACTTACATCAAAAGATCACCTAATTGTTATTTACTGACACTCCAATATTCCGAACAATTTTAATATTTACTTTTTTAATAAAAAAAATGGTTTTAAAATTTATTTTTTTTGGTGTTCTATTCAAAGAATTTATCATTTTTCGGTCACACACATGAATAAATTGTTTACTTAGCATAGTATATTGATGAATAATAATGAGAGATAAAGAATGAAGGATGAGTCGTGAAAAAGATGTAAAGGGGATATGATATAATAGAAAAAGGATGTCAACGTACATAGATGAGGAACGAGCAGCGAGACACGATCATCGTGAGCGGCTCCAAAAGGGTTTCCCTCTTAAGAGTTTTTCTTTTTTTTTTTCTTGTGATGAACCTTCTCTCACTTGATACGATCGTAATTAGCCGCTTTTCAACAGCCTCATCTCGTATGAAAGACACACGCACGCGTTAACGAGTCAGCAAAGAAAGTATTTTCAACCTGAGCTTTATAGAGGAGTTATTTTCACTATTTTTTTTACCTTGTGTTTATAGGTACACATGCGTAGTTTTTAAATATTTGAATTGAATTCATAATCTATTACAAACCTTTAAAAAAATACACTGTAAAATTTAATACATATTTTCTTGAATTAAAAATATTAAAAATAAGTTGAGTTTTAATTATAAGTAGCTATAATTTCCTTATATATCTTTTTAAAGAATTAGATTGTTGTCAAAATATACTTCTAATTACTTAAAAAAAAAATAATGATGATAAATACTTTGTTTAAAATTCATGAGATCTTTGACTTTAATTTTCTAAACTTCTAGGACTGATGAGAATTGAAAATCACTATGAATCAAAGGAAATGTCAATTCTCTTTCAACTCCAGACCATAAACATCCTTTAACTCAGACTAATTGTGGTTTCCCTATGTGGCATTTCGGTAGAATTCCACCTCTAGACTTTCAAGTGGCACTGAGACCTTTATATCTCAAAGTAGTACAACATTACACACGTGTAAAACTTTTCAAGTTGAACTTTTATGGTTCTCCATAGTAAAAACAATTTTATTTAGCAGAAACAAGGTTTATTATTAATTACCAACTTTTCTTATGAGCAATAAAACTCATTGGCAATAAAAAAAAATGACCTAGACTGAATGATAAATAATTCATTTATTTTTTTTTGCCAATCAATATAAACTTCCAAATAATTTTCACTGAATTTTGTTATTCAATTCAAACAATGTTAATTAAACTGAGAATCTAATATACGAGCTCAGTTCATTAACTTCTTTGAAAGTACGTTGCTGTTATTTACAACTAGGTAATTGAGCTAAACTAAACTTTTAACAATCAATCTAAAGCATGTCGATACGTATACGCATACTCTATTGTTTCATACAAGTGTATTTCAGCTAACATTCCTAGCTAATAGAAAAAAAAAGGCTTAATAAAAATAAATCATCAACAATATTATGATAGAGACAGACAAAGAACTTCTTTAGATAAAACCTTTCTAACAATTCTTTCTTAACACTCATTAACATATGAATTACACTAGCGTGTATACATAATCAGGATATGATAACAATAATAATGTTGACAATCCTCTGACTTAGATGAATCAGTCGAGAAAATCTCTCTGATCCTAAAGTCATACGTGGGATGACTGATACGTTGTCGAGAGATAGGTTTCAGCATAATATCTTGAAGGAAGCACACGTATTCCATTCATACTCACATCCCAACTTTATCGTCAAGAAAAAGTATCTACAATGTATATGTGTGAAGATGCAAAACAGACGAAATCATTTATTTATAGCCGGAATTAAGATATACATTACACAACACCTACTTTTTGATTTATTAGTCGATTAAATTATACAATAAATTCGCCATAACTATTATTTAAATACTAAATTGACTTCACGTATTTGTTGCAATATTGACACAAGGCAAATATGGGATTATTAAGCCAATATGTATTCAGGATGATTTATAATGATGATCGTTTGAAATTTTTCATTGATGATACTAGGTATGATGCTGGTAAGTATAAACATGTCGAAGCAATAAAAGTGGAGTTGGTATAATCTCTTGTCAACTGGATGTTAATAACATGTCGTTTGCTTTATGTCAATATTGTCTGACGAATCAACTCACTGTCACAATGACAAGACATGAGCTTTACGTTACACACTGTGTGTCTAATATTCTTTTTTAAAGAATGCTCATTATACTAAAGAGACAAGAAGACTTGACTGCAAAAAAAAATAATAATATTCCTAAGGACTTGAGGTATCTGGTATATACTCACGCGTAGGAGTCACGAAAGGAATCACAGATGGAAAAGACGTGAGAACGAACGTCTTGGTCTTCACTTGTTTCATTTGCTTCAACTAAGGATGATGAATACGATAAAGTGGTACAAGTATATCTGTTCGTGTGATTTAATCTGATGCACTTACTTAATGACCGTGTATTATTGAGCATGTGCTGTGAATCGTGAGGCGATGCTCACTATATTCATAATAGCTGTATTATTATTTTTATTGTTATTTTCTATGTTGTATTTATCTCTTATGGTTGAATTAATTTATTATGAGGATCGCTGCATGTTGATCTAAACATTCTAGAACAGGAAATGACGGGAAATTAATAGCACCATTTGTCAGATAAATATTTCTGCTATTTTTTTTTGCAATAAATCTGTGACAATAATTATTAACATCAATTATTAATATTTTTTTTCATTCTCATATCAGTCTAACAACCATAGAAAAAATTGGTTTATCTAAATAATTAAGAAGAGATGGAAGAATCAACTTTATTTTTCAAAGTTTTTTGTTGATAAAATTAATTAGTTCAGTTTAATAATTTTTTCTATTACAAAACTGCTAATTATTTATTGAAGAATGTCTTGTACTCATTATAGAGTTGTGATTACAGATATATATGACATCTAAAAATTCATTAAGCAAAAAAATCAACAGATTCTCATTGCTTCAAAATGACATTAGTAACTTGTACCAAATTATTTTGACAAATTTTTTCCTTCGTCATCACTTAATTATCACACAACACAAAAACACTTGGAGTGTATTTACTCTGCGACATAACAGTACATCCATCATACCCAAGAATTCAGAAAAAGGGTCTCAGTTGTTCATTTAAGCACCACTAATTAATTCGTCCCCCAAACACATAAATTAACCCATCAAGAAGATGCTGCACAATTATTGATTTATATCTCTGAAATTGCTGAGGGTCACTTTCAACGAGTTAGATTATGGAGTAATTGATGCTAAGAACAAGAATGTGATTCATAATAGAAAAGTCCACATGTACAAGTTCACACATTGATATATTTATACAGTGAAAAATAAATAATAAAGTTATATATGATTAACGATAACCCAAATGGATGTATTACAATTATTCAATTTAAAGATGTAGGCTTAGAGTGAGAGTTGGAGACAAATGGTCAGTCCAACTGACGTCGAGACCAATCAATTGATTCGTTATTCCATTAATTCGTAATTGATATTACGTCGATCCTATCCTCAAACTATCAAACATGCACTTGTCACACTCCCACGATTCTCACTCTCATTTGTCCGTTAATATCTAATAACCTGCGCTTGTATCCCCAACATAACAGATCGTTAATTAATTCCATAAATTATCAAGTAAACCGCTCCTTTTAACATATAAAAAGCCTCATGATGTATTTTACTAACACATATGTAGATGCCAGTATTGAACATTATTCAACTTTTTTATAGTTTTTTACATCAATTAGGAAACACATTGATAATTAAATAGTAACTGATAATTTATTTTAAAGCTTTCTATTTTAAGTTAATAAATTATCACCAGGAATATTACCACAGTGAACGTCCAACACTGATGTTCAAGCTTTAAATTTAATTAATATCCAACAAAATGAATTTTTTTTCTTGCTCCTGATGTTGTGTTTAATTCGATTGTCAATGATGAAAGATTAACTGATGAAATATTGATGCTGAGGAAGAAAGAGTTTAAAGTATAATACTTTTTTTTGTTGCAGCCTGTGACTGTCACTTGATTGGAGCATCCGGTAAAACTTGTAACCAAAGTACAGGCCAGTGCCCTTGCAAAGACGGCGTGACTGGGACCACCTGTAATAGGTGTGCCAGAGGTTACCAGCAAAGCAGATCCCACATCGCCCCTTGCGTTAGTAAGTATAGGTTCTTCATCATCTTTCATCGTTGCCCATCAATACTTGATTAATTTACACTTGCAGCTGGTTACCAAAATACTGATTCAGTAGATTTATTTCCATTCCTGCCAGTAATAATATTGCACACATCATCCATTGATCGCACCCTCGTTACTATCTATTCAACCTGGTTATTTATGCATGTTTCACCTTCAAGAAGGTACCAATTCTGATTATGAACAAACTACCTGTCAATAACTTTTATGGATCACTTATTTCTTCACTTTGTATCTTGCTTTTGAAAAAAGGAATCAAGGTTATTGTTTTTTAATTTAAAAAATTCGAGCTTTTTGAATATTTATTAATGCTACAAAATGGTTATACATCAATTTACATCCCATCAATAAATTCTTTCTTCAATATAAATTACAAATTTTTTTTTTTTCCTTTATATTTATTCTTGTTCTTAGTTGAAAAACCTCATTTACGCGTTTAAGTATACTGCTGGCGTGATTAAAAGTAATGAATGGTAGCAATAATCATTTTAAAACCGCACAGACATGTGGTCGATTAGCTGCTGATTGCAATCAGTTGTTTAAGTAAAGGTTCAAGAAGACCCGATTTCCAATTAGTTGGAATAATTTCTTAAAATGAGAATCTGCAACTTTGCCATCACCATAATATCCATTCACACCTTAATGACTATTTTATTTCTTTTATAAACATGTACCAAGTAAATTGATTTCATTGGTACATTTATAAAGTGATTGGATACATATATGTTTGTAAGTAAACATTGTTTTAATCACTAGTTTTTTATCATGCTTTTTAGGAATTCCGCAGGTAGTGCAGACTCAGGGGATTGCTGGTGAAAACAACGGGGAAGACGATTATGATGAGGATGAACATGGATATGATGGGCAGACTGGTAAGTACATTACTAAAATAAAATTAGATTTTTTTAGAAGATTCTGATTAAGCTGAGTATAACAGAAATGGTACACAAAAAATATCAAACAACTGGCTCCATTTTTTTTCAATCAACAAATATAGTACTTAATTAAATTATAAAACAAAAAATTCATTTTAATAAAAAAGTATTTTATTTAAATTATCAAAAGACTTTTATTTTATGATTATTAATGATTCATGAAGATCATACTCACTTGTTAAGTTAAACAAATGCTGTTGATAATGAAGAAAAAATGTTGTCTTCATCAAAAATAATTATTCTTTTTAATAAAATTTCATCTTCAACCCCTCTTTAGACTCAGTAACATTCATTTATCGACGGTAAAATAACAGGATTCGTCTTCAGATTCCACCCTGTAAATTCTTACATAAAAATAATTCAAACCGTACAAAATCTGCCATTAAAAAAATTCTCAAAGTCTCTAATCCACTTGTGTAATCATGACCATTATCTGACACACCGAATGGAACAAGATAACGAGTGGAGCGTCGAGTATTGCGCTTTTAGTAACCCCCGGATGAATTCCAAGACCTAAAGTAGTGATGGTAAGCGAACAGACGTAGAGGAGGAGTAGGAGGGTGAGGGCAATTTGGATGGAGTTTAGTGAAAGTATGGTCACGTGGTAGGGTAGAATTTGAGGGTGATATTAATTTAGCAAAGAGTTGAAGAAGAAGGACAACAAGAGAGGAATGATGGGAGGAAGAGGGCAGAAGGTGAAAGAAGGAGAGGGAGGGAGAAGAACGAAGAGAGGACGTCTCGTTGCGTCGTTGCAGCTCTCAGCCTACCCTAATGGCTTAATTAAAACTACCCTTACACAGCGATACACGTTTATACCCTCGGCATGGACTCCTTCCTTCCTTCCTTCCTCTTAGGTACTCCGTAATACACGTTGTATCGCCGCGTATATTTACGCGCGAATATACCTAGACCTACTGCTAAAATATATTTGCGTGTGTTTTAGCTTTAGCGGCCTTTGCTCGACGTGTATTTGCCAGGCAACTGGTAGAAGTATTACTTGGTCGATTAATCATTTTATTACTTAGTAACGCTTTACACACTGTTGCGAATAACTTGCTAAATTTGTTCTGAAATTCATTTTACATAACTTATAACTTGTAATTAAGTTCAAATACTTTGGTTATTTAAACTTTTTTATAACATTGTTTATAAGCAATATCGTTTTATTTCATTCATTAATCAATTAATTTCGTTATCAAGTTTTAATTACATCAGTGAATAATATTCAGGCTAAATAAGTAAATACGAGAATCTTGGAAGTCTGAGTTCAATTTTAATTATTCAACTCCTTTTTTGTTCTTTATTCTAAGTAATTAACTTTTTAAACAAACTTTATAAGTAATTTATTTTATTTAAAAAAAAAAAAAAATTTCACATCAAAATGAAAATTCCATTTTTATGAGATAGACTTTAAAAACATTGTTAGTGGGAAAGTAAATTCGTCTGGATTACCGTGATGTTTTTTCCTCGATAGATTTTTCTAAATCAAGATAAAGTTTCTTGAGCTAAGAAAATATGTTATTGCTTTTATTAAAGTTGATTCTTCCCCTAGGAATTTTCGTTCTTTCGTAAAATAACTTCTTTTTTTTTCTCGGTGTATATAACACTTATTAGTAAAGTAAGTTTACTTGTAAAGTTGACTTTTAACAAGAAGAAAATATCCTAAGCAGATTCATGTCTCATCATGGATTGCATCTATATGTTAATGCATTTCAAGTGCGCGTAACTCGTCGCATGTACATACGCAGTTCACCCACGCGACGTCAAAAGATAACCTCCGGACAAGCGTCCAAGTAAATGTAAAAAAATATCATCTGCTACTTGTACACAGTCTCGTGAATGTAAGAGGCTTGTTGTAAAGAGATTTATTGGATTCATGATTTAGATATTGGTACCAACGACACAGCTCGATATTTTATACATTATAGGTACTTTCAAATATTTTTCATAATCATTTTAAAAGAATATTTAGCCTTGTAAATACATGTATTAGATGTATATTCATTTTTTTTTTTCATGCTTTCGCTTCGTTGTAGCACGACGAATTCCCTCTCCCTTCGTCTTGTTGAATATATACGCTCGGATAAATGCGAGGGTCCTTTCCGTTTCGGAAAACATACCCAGTCTGCCAATGTTTGCACACTGCATCGATTCGTTTTCCACGTCGTGTGCGGTTTTAAGCCTTCGAACAACGAGACACAAAACTCTTAAGTTGCTCAAGGGTTCCCAATGAGCTAGGGTTAATTCTAGAGAAAACTAACCATAATTACTGTTACACCGTACATGTAAACTTTCTCCTACTAGTAAAAATACATTCTTTACTCTACATTTTCCTCAATATATTCATTTATTTATTCATTTAAAAAAAAATGTTTATATTATAAATAATAATGAAATATCGGATCATATTTATTGCGAATAAATTTTTTAATAAAAATAAAAAGTTACAAATTGCTTGGCTGAACAGATTTATTTTTAAATCAAAGTTATTTTTTATAATTATGATGGAAGATCATGCGGCTTCATAAAAAGATAATAAAAATAAGGAATATAAGTTTCATAGCTTTTGGGTTAGTTTTATCGATTTATGACAGGTTTTTTTTTAACGCTCGGAGCGTCTTAATATATTTTCTTGTGTCGGAGCATGTTTAAAAAAATTTTCTGGTGCATCGAATAAATCATTTGGAAGCCAAATCAATTAAGAGGTAAACCCGTTTACTATCTATTTCTGTAAATATTTAGATATAATAGTAAAACTTGAATTATTATCGTATGCTGGTTATTTTTCGTAAACATTACTATGCAAAATATATGAAACCGGTTATAAAGCATTGATCCCTATATAAGAGTCAGGCGTAATAATGAATAAAAATTTAACGCGCAGTCATAACGAGCGGCAGAGAAAAGACGGAAGGAAATTTATGCGGGCGCGACGGCTCGTTCACTGCCAAGGGACTCGATCTATATATCGATCTCGATCGAAGCCTAATTGCTGTACCACCCTCTTTCACTGAGGAAAGAAGAAAGATGGAATATGGTATAAAAGTATATGACGTTAGACTTTAGAGACTGCTGCAAGCCTACTCCTTACGCCGCCGGCGACCCAGGCGTAAATCTTTCAGCCCGAAAGTACGTGTTCGGCTGCTCTTTCTCATCTGCTACTCATGTAGTATTTATTCGATAAAACGAGCGAGATTGAACCAGCTAAGAGTGTCGAGAAAAAAAATTGACATGACATCACCTGTAATAACCTCTCTCGTCTCATTTATTTCCATTTTTTTATGGCAACAATAAAAACTTGGATATACTTCCAGGTCATCATTACTTTGCGGAAAAAAAAATACTACTCAAGTAGCTCGAGATTGTTGTGAAAAATTTGGCAGAGGTTTTTTTTCATGAAATATCTTTGTTACTGAAACCAATAATTTTATATTTAACAATAGAGTTCATTAATTTAAAATACTTTTTTTTTTTTCACTTTATTTGACAATTATTTTATTAATTTTTGAATGTATTTCAAAAATAATAATGACTTGATAGAATAATTTTTCAAAGCAAATAAAATTGGAATAATTGTTTAAAGAACTGTTGATAAATTTATTATTGATATTAATGTTAATTAAAATTAAATTGTGTTGATTAAAAAATAATAATAGGTCGTTTATTTATTTTAATTGAATTGAAGTGTCAGAAAAATTTGTTCTATCATACCACTCAATAAAGTTATCAAAAAAAGGCAATCCATAAAGCTTTAGCACAAAAAAAAGCTTACTTTGATGCCTAACTCAAAGTTAATCTACAAGATTTGCATTACCTTTGTTCTCCAATAGAATTTCCCGTACAATATGTCCTTAATAAAAGTTTTCGTACCTTGAAATTTCAATCTCTTTATCCCATTATTCGTACTGTAGGATTTCCTAAAAGGTTTTACAGCTGCCATGTGATAAGTAATGGAATTTTGACGGAATAATAATTATTTTTGACACTCCCTAGTAGATTTTTCCGCTGAATCCAAAATATATTATTTTATTTTGCAGCTTCATCATAAGAAACATTGAATAAGACCATAAAAGTAAGTTCTTTTGTCAGAAATAGAGGGACGATAAGACCACTGACGCGAGATAGGTACAATATCATTTCCTTTTTGGAACACTGCCAATAAACTTGTGCTGATGGCACTCCCTTCTAGAACATCAGACTGTATCGATACGCCAGTAGTGCTTCCTTTAAATGTAAATCGATACATTTATGTATGCAATAACCAATATTATAATATTCTGCAAGGTGTCGTACAGCATACACTATTTAAAGTCAGTATCTAAATCGTTTTTTATTTTTTTTTTTCTTCAGAATAAAAAGCTATTCAGCGAAAATGTTATCGATTTTTTTTAGACAATTTGGATAAACTTTATTCTTTTCACATTCACCTCACACATTCACTTAAACATTTGGATTATTTAGTACAAATTCAATTAAAAAATCACCTGAATAATTGTGAAACATTGTTTCAATAAATTTCATATTGATTGACGCACTTTATAAAATATTAAGTGTTCACAAAGCTACTTTTACCACCATTTTTATTCTATTTATGGGCTGGAATTTTTTCGAATTCTCCTGTTTATTATTTCAAGCTTTTCGTGACTTTATTGTGACTTTCATGGTTGATTTTATGATGCTTAACATTACGAGGAAATTTTTTTAATTATGACTTTTATGATACTAAAATTTTTTAGACTTATGACTTTTATGACACTAGACTTTTAAGAATTATGAGAATTTTCACATAAGTAGCTGCAATCATTTTGATAAGTTTAATATTGATTCATAAAATATAAATTATAACTTTATCATGACTTTTATGAATTACTTTTTTAATATAATATTTTTTATGATTATTAACACACCATTTTTTTTAGCTTCCAATGAACGAACAA